TTTTTCAGCTCTCCTACCAATGCAGATTGCAGGCCCTGAGAGTGTACAGTGGTGAATATCGACATCAGCAAGGAGACCTAATCATGCTTTGCTCAACATTGACGAACTCAACTCACCCATATCGCAATCTGTTGTAGCTGAGCCCCAATACCAACCTGAGAGGCCATCAACTCAAACTGGCTGTGCACTAAAATCGAACTGATTATCGACGTAACGTTTTCTCCCTCCAGGTGTCCCGTGCCTAGAATGCCCTTCCGACTCACGTTATCCTTGCCCCTACCTTACCACTTTTCAAAAACGCCTTGATGAAGCGTTTGCAAATATGCATTACTTTATATAGTCCGTTGCACTTGGAGGACGAAATAACGCAAACCTAACCATGTGGTTAAAGGCCCTCTCCACAACTTGACGGTGAGGATACATGCAGAATTGTCCAGGTGATTAGCCTGGATGTAGGTAAACTGAATTAACATATCACCTCTGTGAAATGAAGAAACGAACGAGTGGGCGTTGTCGTTTCCTTTTTTATTTCTCACGCAATTACTGGGCTATAACAACTTTCTATACTATTTTGCGTGTGCACATCCCATTCCCATTACAAACTATTGTTATGCAGCAGTGCGTGTAAATCGATGGAAGCTTAAAATAACAATTTACTTTTTCGATGATCCTTCAACTTTTTACTCTAGCCATCCTACGGGACTTGTTAAACATATGCTATTTTACCCCTGATAAATCATGGTTCATTGTCATTGCTGGTTCTCCAATTTGCTATTGTAAAAGGAATTACGCGTTTCGGAAGTACGCTAATTTACCCACGTATGTAATAGTCTTGGTAGCGAAAGTTTGGCAAACATTCTACATCCGAAGAACGCATGACTATATCAGACTAATTTATACTAACAAGATAGTCGAATGCAGTTCTGACGATCTGTAGACTGGTTTGTTCTCTCAGCGGTTAGCACCTTTTCTAATCAACAAGCCACTTTAGTCCAGTGTTTATATTCGAGCGCACTGGTCTGATTGGTAACAGTCATGCCCATTTGAAGCTAAGTGCTCGCGTAATCAATTGGTCTCCTCGACCGGTAGGCATCGAGTGACCCTAGATCATTGAATTTGGGTCAACATGACTTTTAAACTTAATCCACTTCATTAACCTTTACTACAAGACCCAATAATGAACCCTTCCTCCTCTCTGTCAACGAGGTTGTCACAACAAACCGTGTCAAAATGGTGATTAGCATACAATAGCAATTATCGGTCCGCCTTAAACTGTCGTAGAAGGACGGGGATATTATTGTCCTCATTTCATTTGTTTGAATGTCTGCACTCTCTGTCAGTTGTATAGTTTCGAGTGGTAGTTAGCGATCCAAATGCATCTATCTGTCGAATTTTTTCCTTTTTTGTGACTTTAAAATGTTGATGGGAATTACTTGTCAAATACCATAATTGCCAGTGTCATCGTGAAAGACGCACCCACACACATGTCTCGGTTCAACGATAGGTTTTCTCAGCTATGTACCTCCAGGAGGAGCGCAGGAATATAAAACACCGTCAGCTCCGGTAGATTGCGCTTACAACGGGTAAAGCAAACGGATCTTGATCTCAGTGGCGCAATCCACCCATACTTGACGTTAGAATAAAGGAAAATTTTACTTGGAAGGGAGCAGCTACCAAAGGTGGACCTGGTTATCCTGATTAGAATGTGCACCAATTCAATCCCGACCTGTCCTCACAAAGACAATTGCTGTTGTAATAAATGAAGTTTTGCAATACCCGCTGCGCGTTTTGATCGTGGGACGCAATATAAAGGTAAATTATGATTTACTTTGAAGTCTGCCTTGGTTGCTCAGATCACTGGTGTAATATATAAAAGTAGCCTGGAAGTTTTGAGCAACGCGTTTCCACCGGGATCAAATCAAGAACATGGTCATAAATGGGTAAAGGTATTATGTAGAATACCAAAAATTAACAGGACACACTTCAACAACAGCGCTTCCAGATCAAAGCAGCCACAACGGAAAGCAATTCCGTGGGCCTCTGAGCGATAGAAGTACAAAGTGGCAGCCCGACCGTGCACAGTGTGAGTAGGACAGGGAAATTAAAGTCTCGTAGCTGCCGTTTACCGCCCCCAACGTAAACTCCAGAAATGGATTCCCGCTTGATACGTGACCTGAATAGAGTAGCACGCACCATGCACAGCCACATTCTCATCTCCGGGGACTTCAAACTACGCGATCTGGAGGTATCGGTATCACTCAGTGAGCAGCTCGAAGTAGACGTGCATGAACTGATCGCGAATATTTCCTTGTACAGTCATGTCACCACGCCCACTAGATTCAGGACAGCAAACGAACCGTCCGTATAGGACCTTGTGCTCACGAATGAAGAGCTCTTGTTTGACAAGTTGTTGATGGATAGTCCATTAGGTCTCAGTGACCATGTAGTACTAACGTTCAACTATGTGTGATATACACAGTCTCCATCGGAACACTCGAAACTAAGTCATACCATCACACGCTACCACGTATTGAAAGAACTCGCCGACACAGCTGCTTGGGAATTCTCAAACAACAGTTCCCTTGACAACTTTTGGCAGAGTTTGTTGCTAGGCTCAGCGAGATCGTCAACAGAGCATCAGAAACCAAACCCCTTCGTCGCGGAAAATGCCTTCAATTCTAAGCAGCAGCACTCGAAAATGCCTAGCGTTAAGGGTTGCAACATTGCGTGCCTACAAGATTAACCCTGACTCAGAGAGTTGGGGAAATTTCCTGCCCCATCGGAAACATTGCAATGCACTTGTCTGTGAGGACAAATTAACCTATCAACAGTGCCTAGCCAAAAGATTCTTGCAACCAACAATCAGCTGTATGGGCATGTCAGCAACCTTCGTAAAATGAAGCGTGGCATCGCTCCACTTTTCATGACAGGCGGCAGAGTACAAAGCGTCGAAGAAGCAGCTAATGCCCTGCGGCTACAAGAAGCCCCTTTTTTGAACTCGAGGTCTCTACTTGTCCTAATGTCATGCAAATTACCGACTCCATTATTTATACATGTAAGTTACATGTATATACATGTATACATGTATACATATACATGTATACATATATACATGTATATACATGTAAGTAAGTAAGTAAGAATGTTACTCTCACCGAGCGATCGTAGCTTTCCGGGAGCAGACAACATCCGCCCGAAGGCACTAAAGGCTGTGGCCAACAGGCTAGCTGAACTACTGTCACATTTTTCCAAAGGCGCTTTGATGAACAACAAGTCCCCACTATGTGGAAGCGTGACATTACCAGCCACAAGTTTAAGGACGGTAGCCGTTCAGAACCTGTAAACTATCGCCCAGTGACTCACCTCCCTGTGCTTGCGAAGGTCATAGCAGCGGTCATCACTGAGATTCTAATGGACTACCTGGAAAAATGCAACATCTTGGCACCGGAGCAGCATGGCTTCCGTCAACACCGGTCATGCACCACCAATCTACTGATTGCACGAGGTAGTTGGACGGAAGTGGCTGATGATGTGGTCGGAGTTGACGTCATCTATCACGACTTCTCCAAAGCTTTCGACCGCCTTGATTACCGCATCCTACTTCAATGGCTACAGAGCTACGGAATGGGAGATTCTGTAAATAAATGAATCAAGGCCAGAAAACAGTTCAGGGTTAAGATATCTTTTCGGTAAAATCTCGTCAGACCCAAACTTTTACATGACACGGATTATGTGGGGTAAGCGTCAAATCGGGCTGGGATTGATTTCTTAGGTGTTTGAAAGGTCAAGATCGATGACTAAAGGTGGCTACAGATGGTAGGAAAAGTGCATCAAAGGAAATTAATACAGGCTTCAGGGCCTAAAGTAAATAGCTAAGGTTACAAAGGGTAGTTAAGTAACCATGTCAGTCGGCCAAGGTAGTAGTATCGGCCGTATGAATCGTTTGTGTACGCATAATTCCGGCTTCAGATGATGGATGTAAATAGCCTCGGCGATAGACAAGATTTGCTTTCGGAAGCCTTGTGATAAGCCTTCAGGTAGTGAATAGATGACTTTAGAGTCATTCTCAGATGCAGTATGGCCACTTTCGAGGAGGTGCGACATGATTGAGCTGTCTGAGGCCCTCATTTCGCCCTTGTAAAACCACGCCGGGATGTGCTCGCGAATCCTCTGGGATAGACGTCTCGTTGTGCGACCCACGTATCGTGCACCACAAGAGCACGAGTACTGATAAACGAGCATTGAACGGGTCAACGATGGCAGACTATCTTTCAAGGGTTTTGCAAGCAATGGTTTGTTGTGGTAAACAATTCTTAAGCGGGCTGCGAAATAAGTTTTCTCAACAGCATCTTTCAAACGTCGAGATAGGATATCAGCTGCAGTGTCGCCCTTAAATGGTAAATGTATGAACAGCTCTTTCTTGGGAGCAATGCTTCTAGGTGGCTTTTGCTTGCGTTCTTTCATATGCTTCATGATAAACTTATCAGGGTAACCATTCTCACGAAGGGCGTCGCTGATTCTCTGTAGCTCTTCGTTGACGGGATCCGGAGTGCAAATACTGCGCGCCCTGAAGGCAAGAGATCGTATTAAACTCCTCTTGTGCTGTAAAGGCACCGCGCTGTGAAAGTTAGTGTACTGTCCAGTCCACGTATGCTTTCTGTGTACCTTTCTGCTACATGAGCCGTCCGAATTGCGGATGACTTCTACATCCAAGAAAGGTAAACGGTTTTTATTTTCGTGCTCACAGATGAAGCGTAGATTATTATGTGCATCATTAAAGGCCTTCAGCAACTGTTCTGCATGCTTTTAGGATTCGCAAAGCACGAAGGTGTCATCGACGTACCGTATGTACATTTCAGTTCCACAGATGTGCGTCCTGAGTGGGCCATGTTCTAATTTCGCCATAGATATCAGCCAACAACGGCCCCAAAGGAGATCCCATGACCACTCCATCAATTTGACGGTACATCTCACCATTGAACATGAATTGAACATTTAACGTGCAGCGAAATAGTATCTCCTTTAGCAGATACTCCGGAAAGTTAGCGTATATTGGTAGTTGCCGGGTCAACTCGCACACGTACTCCACCGTTTCGAGCAGGGGAATGTTTGTAAACAGCGACTGGGCATCAAAAGATATCATCCTTTTGTTAGTAAAATTGAGTTCAGATATCTTCTCAATGAATTCGAAGGAGTCTCTCACGCAGTAAGTGCAAACCATATCCCGTAACGGTTGCAATTTGTTCACCATCCATTGGGCCAACAAATGCTGGGGAGAACCCACCATGTCCAAGATTGGACGCATTGGGGCGCCTTCCTTGTGAACTTTTGGAAGGCCATATAATCTCGGTAGGTGTCCACCTGAAGGCTTCAACTTTTCGTATTCGCTCTTTGTGATCAGTTTGGCTTGCATCATTCGCTTGAGGCAGCCGGCCAACTGTTTCTCTAACTCCCCTGTGTTGTCCTTTCCGGCCATAAGCTTCTGGAACTTACGTTCATCACTGAGGATATGTTGCATTTTACAGATATAATCCACCCTATCTAATAACACTATGCCGGATCCTTTGTCTGGTCTAGAGATAATTAATTCGTTGTTTAACCGTAACTCTTTAATTGCCTGGATTATTTTTGTAAAATGCAACATATCCTCAGTGATGAACGTAAGTTCCAGAAGCTTATGGCCGGAAAGGACAACACAGGGGAGTTAGAGAAACAGTTGGCCGGCTGCCTCAAGCGAATGATGCAAGCCAAACTGATCACAAAGAGCGAATACGAAAAGTTGAAGCCTTCAGGTGGACACCTACCGAGATTATATGGCCTTCCAAAAGTTCACAAGGAAGGCGCCCCAATGCGTCCAATCTTGGACATGGTGGGTTCTCCCCAGCATTTGTTGGCCCAATGGATGGTGAACAAATTGCAACCGTTACGGGATATGGTTTGCACTTACTGCGTGAGAGACTCCTTCGAATTCATTGAGAAGATATCTGAACTCAACTTTACTAACAAAAGGATGATATCTTTTGATGCCCAGTCGCTGTTTACAAACATTCCCCTGCTCGAAACGGTGGAGTACGTGTGCGAGTTGACCCGGCAACTACCAATATACGCTAACTTTCCGGAGTATCTGCTAAAGGAGATGCTATTTCGCTGCACGTTAAATGTTCAATTCATGTTCAATGGTGAGATGTACCGTCAAATTGATGGAGTGGTCATGGGATCTCCTTTGGGGCCGTTGTTGGCTGATATCTTTATGGCGAAATTAGAACATGGCCCACTCAGGACGCACATCTGTGGAACTGAAATGTACATACGGTACGTCGATGACACCTTCGTGCTTTGCGAATCCGAAAAGCATGCAGAACAGTTGCTGAAGGCCTTTAATGATGCACATAATAATCTACGCTTCACCTGTGAGCACGAAAATAAAAACCGTTTACCTTTCTTGGATGTAGAAGTCATCCGCAATTCGGACGGCTCATGTAGCAGAAAGGTACACAGAAAGCATACGTGGACTGGACAGTACACTAACTTTCACAGCGCGGTGCCTTTACAGCACAAGAGCAGTTTAATACGATCTCTTGCCTTCAGGGCGCGCAGTATTTGCACTCCGGATCCCGTCAACGTAGAGCTACAGAGAATCAGCGACGCCCTTCGTGAGAATGGTTACCCTGATAAGTTTATCATGAAGCATATGAAAGAACGCAAACGAAAGCCACCTAGAAGCATTGCTCCCAAGAAAGAGCTGTTCATACATTTACCATTTAAGGGCGACACTGCAGCTGATATCCTATCTCGACGTTTGAAAGATGCTGTTGAGAAAACTTATTTCGCAGCCCGCTTAAGCATTGTTTACCACAACAAACCATTGCTTGCAAAACCCTTGAAAGATAGTCTGCCATCGTTGACCCGTTCAATGCTCGTTTATCAGTACTCGTGCTCTTGTGGTGCACGATACGTGGGTCGCACAACGAGACGTCTATCCCAGAGGATTCGCGAGCACATCCCGGCGTGGTTTTACAAGGGCGAAATGAGGGCCTCAGACAGCTCAATCATGTCGCACCTCCTCGAAAGTGGCCATACTGCATCTGAGAATGACTTTAAAGTCATCTATTCACTACCTGAAGGCTTATCACAAGGCTTCCGAAAGCAAATCTTGTCTATCGCCGAGGCTATTTACATCCATCATCTGAAGCCGGAATTATGCGTACACAAACGATTCATACGGCCGATACTACTACCTTGGCCGACTGACATGGTTACTTAACTACCCTTTGTAACCTTAGCTATTTACTTTAGGCCCTGAAGCCTGTATTAATTTCCTTTGATGCACTTTTCCTACCATCTGTAGCCACCTTTAGTCATCGATCTTGACCTTTCAAACACCTAAGAAATCAATCCCAGCCCGATTTGACGCTTACCCCACATAATCCGTGTCATGTAAAAGTTTGGGTCTGACGAGATTTTACCGAAAAGATATCTTAACCCTGAACTGTTTTCTGGCCTTGATTCATTTGATTACAATGGGAATATTTGCTGTGTTGAAAAGCAGCATTGCCCGTGATTCCTTGAAGATTCTGTACTTGGTTGGATTGATAACTTTCTTCACCAACGGAAACTTCAAGTACGCGTTAGGGGATCACTCTCCATCTCGATTGAGGTGGAGTGTGGTGTCCCACAATGTTCAGTGCTGGGACCGCGCTTATTCCTGGTGTTTATCAACGACCTGGCAAGAGTTATCTCCACAAATTTCCTGCTTTTCGCCGGTAGGGTCAAGATATGGCAGGCCATCAGTAACAATGAAGATCACGATCTACTCCAACATGACCTAGGTGGTATTCATGAATGGTCAAAGAGGAACCTGCTTCAGTTAAACATATCTAAGTGCAAAGTGATCCATCTGTGTCACCAACCGATGAGCGCTTACAGGCTCAGAGACCACGTGTTGCAGAAGGCACCTCAGTAGCTTGACCTGGTTGTATGGGTACGGGAAGATCTCGGGTGTTCAAAACAAGCAGAGAAGGCGTCGAGAATCGTCAGTCAACACTTCGGACTTTTTCGCAGAGCCTTCGTTCGGTTTGAACCCCCAATATTTCCCCAAATGTTTAACGCCTACGTGCGACCGCAAGTGGAATATGCTATGCAGGCGTGGCAGCCGTGGCAGAAACAGGATCTCGTTGCTATCGAGACTCCGCAATGAAGGGAAACCACGAACGTCAGGGGCCTCTTTCATCTGCCCTATCAGCTTAGACTGAAATCTCTAAGAATGTACAGCAATCGATACCGGCTTTTGCGGGGGGATCTCATCATGGTTTACCAAATTCTGAAGAACCCAAACCACGTTTGCCGTCCGCTGCTGGAAGTGAACCACAATACTAACCTAAGAGGTCATTTTCTGAAACGGACCATTCTGTATAGCCGACTTGCATGCCGTAGAAATTTCTTTTCCATTCGCGTGTGCAAGCCTTGGAACGCCCGCCCTAATTATGTCGTCTCTGCTCCCAATCTGGCGATATTTGAAGAACAAGTTGACGATGCGTTGTCGCATTTGCATTTCATTTTATGCATTGTTAGCCAGGGGCTACAAAACGCAATCAAACGGTGTCTTACCAAACTCCCAACCAATGTATTCATGGATTTATACTTTTAATATGCGAACATCTCCGCTATTCTACATAAGTCTATGGGGAGTCCACCAAAACGCTTTCACTTTATCATGCAATTTAACTTTCGCGATAATTTCCATTCCACGGGACTTGTTAAGCATTGCCTTTTTAAACCTTAATACACCATTGTCCCATTGTTCCAAATGCACTGAGGACGGTGTAAACATATGAGAGTGGTCGGTACCGGTGATGGAGTACACGAACAGTGATACAATGCAAGTATTATGATGTCCCTTAGAGCATGCGTCAATCAAAAAGAAACATCTCGGAAGAACACAGCAAGCTAGCTGGTCTAGATACAATCTTTATTTATGGCGTGCCAGAACTACTTTCCCACGATAGTCATGAGGCCGATAATCACGATTTGGAACAGTGGCGCTTCATTCGTGAAACACTTTCCTCGGACATTCTTGTGGCGCGATCGCTCAAAAGGCTACCTCTCTCACCAAATTCTAGAGGAAGAAGACAAAGAATCCTGGTTCAGTCAAAGCAGACAGCAAATGAAGTGTTAGAACGTTGGCGGCGCCGTCGGAAAAGCCTTCCATCTGAACTTCAGTTAAAAGCTGCTGAATCCTTGCGAAGACCAGACATGAGCCTACCTAAAAGAGAAAACCCACCAGCATCACTTGACCGCTCGGTCAGGCAATTTTGCAGTAAGTCCGGAGGAGAAATGGGAAGCAGCTTGACCAAATAAACTTGCGAACAGCATACCTTCATCATCACATCAAAAATACGAATAACGGCCTACATCATATCGGTGGGCATGCCACCATACTTGACAGCGTTGGTTCCATAAGGACTCTGAGATGCCGAGAAGCTATCTTGCCTATATGCCAATGCTCAAGGTCTTTTCAATAAGCTGGCAGAACTGAAATATCGGCCAATTTCGAAGCCATGCGATATCTTTGGTCTCACGGAGGCATGGTTGCACATTGGGATGACAGCCACTGAAGTCTAGCTGCCGGTATATCCTTCATAAGAAAGGACAGGCATAAGAAAGGAGGAAGGATAATTCTTTATTACCGAAGCAACCTACAGTGCAAGGCCGTTGAGGATTCAGACTTACAGTTCACCGATTCCCTTTGGTGCCGCTTGCAGTTACATGTCAGAGACACTTGACTTATAGCTTTGGTGCAGCTTCCCTTCAAACTCTATACCGGAAATGTACTGCCACTTTGCTGCAGCTTTAACAGGCAGTCTAAAGCGAAAGTACACACATCCTTTTCAGATGTGAGTACGACGTACACTTCTTAGAAACCATTCAAAGCAGCTTTGAAAGAGCTGATAGCCAGTGTTCTACTTTACAATCACGTCATTACGCCCACTCAACTCAGAACAGGCAATAGACCCTCTTTGCTGTATCTAATGTTCACCAACGAGGAACATATGATTGATACTTTGATTGTAGAATGCCCTTTGGGACGCAGTGATAATGCAGTCATCAGTATCAACTTCAACCGCTATGCGGATTAGCGTCACTAGAACACTGTAGAGGTGCGCACAGTTACACCCTACTACCGCTTAGCCCAGCTCTTCAGTGCCACAATCTGGTTGTTCCTCGCTGAAGGCCATCCGCAAGTTGATTGGTTGGAATTCGTCAGCGAATTCAATCAACTGGTTACGTGTGCTTCAGAGACAAGGGTTTTCAACCGTTTTTTCGTGAGGAGCAGAAATAGAACATGGACGATTGTACAGAACACAGCCTGGCGAGAGTAAAGATCATCAACGCCAGATACTTAGACGACTACGTGGCACATCGTAACAAAACTTCTCAGAGATGACAAAGTCGAACACCAGCAGAATACGGCCAAAACTTTCATCGCTAACAACAAACTACTGTTCAAGTATGTCAATGACCGTCGTTAGGTGAGACGAGGAACTCCTCCGCTCTCGATAACTAATGGTCCAACTAGAACAGCTATAGAAGCAGCAAACATCTTGTGGACGCAACATGCT